GAGGTCTGGGCCCGCCAAGGCGCGACGGGGCCTCGCGCGACCGGGCCAGCACGGCTGGGCACCGGGAGCGCACGGCCGCTCCCGGTCTCGAACCGACGGGGACACTTTTGGCAGGTGGATCTCTCAAGCTCCCTAACATTCGTCACGCGTGCGGAGCTACACTGTCAATGCCGCGCTGTCCTGTGGCTTTGCTGCGTTCCTGCTCGCAACGCGCACCGCCAGAGGCGGCGGAGAGCTTGAGAGATCCACCTACTAAAAGTGACTGGCGCACACGCGTTGCTGGAGCAATACTGCTGCTGGGCAGACGTCGGTTTCGATGATTATATTCGCCACCGTGCCGCTGGTCACAGATGTGTGTTTGTGTGTGTGTGTGTGTGTCCTCGGGTCCTTTGCCGAATCCTCGAAGCCTCAATCTTCACTCCTGAGAAGTCCTTGAGGGGCCAGGAGCCCGCATTGCCAAATTTGGCCGGGTTTCTTGCGTCTTGTCACAGCTTCTCGCGTGACTGTTTCGCAAACCACGCCTCGCTCGAGGCATCTCATAATCCGCCATCATCAGCATCATCATCATCATCATCATCATCATCGTCATCATCATCATCATCATCATCATCAGCAGCATCAGCATCAACATCATCATCATCATCATCGTCATCACCATCATCATCATCACCAGCATCATCATCATCATCGTCATCTTCATCTTCATCATCATCATCATCGTCATCATCTTCATCATCATCGTCAAAATCATCATCACCACCATCATCATCACCAAAATCATCACAGCAGACCATATCATACCGTAACATGCCATAACACATCACAACACATCATATCACAACATAGCATCACATATCGCACCGCACCATACCATACCATATCAGACCGTCCCAGCCCATGAATATACCATACCGTATCATAGCAGATCATACCATACCATATCGTACCATATCATATCAGATTACAAAACATGTCATACCATATCATGCCATACTATAGCATAACATAAAGGCAAACCATAATATGACATGAGGAGATGGAAGGAGGGGTGTGTGGGAGTTGGCGCGGTCGGAGAAATAACAATAACCCCATCCTTCCGACATGGCAACATTTGACACACACACACACACACGAATCTCAAGATCCGCAATACGTTGACATATTCTCTGGATGCTCGACTTCCCCTCCGCTTCCCATATCTTCCCCATTTGTTGGGGAATCGACGATTGTTAGTGCCTATGTTTTTTCCCCCTCCTGAGTCAGGCGTCGCGCCGCACGAGAGTCAGGCGTCCTGAGCACATTCTCCTGAGTCAGGTGTCTGTGAGTTTTTTTCTCCCTCATGAGTCAGGCGTCGCGCAGCACGCCCGCGAGCAGGGCCTCCCAGGTCTCGCCGCGCAGGGCGGCGCCCGCGCGCGCCCCGCCGCCGTCGGAGGACGTCTGGCGCAGGAGGTTGGAGAGGCCGACGGCCTCCAGCGGAGGAGGAGGAGGAGGAGGAGGAGGAGGAGGAGGAGGAGGAGGAGGAGGAGGAGCAGCAGCAGCAGCACCAGAGCAAGCAGCGAAGCAGGAGGAGGACCATCAGGCAAGGAGGAGCCGGATAGGCGAAGGAGTAGGAGGCGGAGGAGAAAAGGAGGAGGGGCGGAGAGGAGGAGGAGGGAGGAGGAGGAGGAGGAGCAGGAGAAGGAGTCAGGAAGGCGGAGAGGAGGAGGAGAAGAGAAAGAGAAGTGAGGAGGGGAGGAGGATAGATGAGGAGCAGCAGCAGCAGCAGCATGATGATGATGATGATGATGATGATGATGATGATGCTGATGCTGATGCTGATGCTGATGATGATGATGATGAGGAGGAGGAGGAGGAGGAGGAGGAGGAGGAGCAGGAGGAAGAGGAGGAGGAGGAGAAGAGGAGGCAAGCAGGGAGGAGGGAGGAGCAGTCATGGTGAAGGACGTCTGGCGCAGGGAGGTTGAAGATGCCGACAGCCTCCAGCGGCTTGGCGGTGTCGGCGTCGTAGCACTCCACGGTGGCGCCACGTGCCGCCTCGGAGTCCACGGCGGCCAGGCAGAGCTCCGCGACGTCGGCGCGCGAGATGCGCCCGCTGAAGGCGTCACCCTGGCTCAGCTCGATGGCGCTGGCCCCACGGGCGGGTTGCTCTGTGAGCCCGCCAGGGCGCACGACCGTGTACCCAACGTCGCTGACGGGCAGGCCCGCGTACAGGGCGCGCACGCGGTTCTCGCCCGAGATCTTCTCGGCCATGATGCCGCCGAAGAGGTTCAGGAACTGGTACACGGCGCTGTCTGGCCTGCTCACGGCCCCAGAGCTCACAACCACCAGGCGCTTGACCCTCTCCGCAATGCACGCCCGCGCCACACTCACGAGCCCGTCGTTGTCCACGGCCTTGGCGGTGCCGCCGCCCTTGGACTGCGACGCTGCGAAGATCACGCCGCGCGCCCCGGCCACCGACGGCGCGACTGTCTCGGGCTTCGTGACGTCCACCGCCCTCGCCTCGCACATGCCGCCGGCGCAGGAGGCGGCCAGGTCCTCTGGCAAGGTGCCCGAGCGCGTCGTGGCCACGACGCGCTCCCCGCGCCGCAGCGCGGCGAGCACGCACTGGCGCCCAGTCCTGCCGCCCGCGCCCAGCACGACGATGGGGCCCCCCAGCGCCGCGACGGCGCCGCCCGCGGGCCACAGCCACGACGCCACGGCCGCGGCGATGCCGGCCTCGCGGCGCCGCGGCGGGCCCTCTGCGGCGGCCGCGGCAGGCGCCCGCGCGCGCCCTGCCACCTCGCGCGGCGCCGCCGGCGCGCCTCCTCGCGGCAACGGCCCCGCGCCGGCCAAGCCGCGCCCCGCGCGCGGGGCCGCGCCGCGCACTGGGCCGCCCGGGGCGCCCGCGAAGGCCCGCGCGGCGAGGGTGCCGCTGGCCAGGGCCGCCGCCAGCGCCGTCCGCGCCCGCGCGGCCGTGCGCGGCACGGCGCGCGCCGGGGCGGGCGTCGACGGGCTCTGCGCCGGCTGCGCAGGCAGCGGGCCGGCTGCGCGGTGCCGCCGGGTCGGGGCGGGCCCAAGCTGCGCGGAGCAGCACGCCGCTGCTGGCGCCATGTGGGGCCGAGGAGGCGGCTCGGGGTCAGGCGCGGCCTGTGCCGAGAAGCGGCTCCAGAGGGCGAGGGGGGGGGGCGGGCCCCGACGTCCGACGTCGTGGAGAGGCAGGATGTCGTGGAGCAGTCGCGAATGCAACTCTCGATCTTCGCGCGTGGTCTTCACAGCCAAGAGGCGATCTGTGATGGGCACAGGTGGTCGAAGTGGCATCAGACTCCCGTCGTGGGTCGTTGCGCTGCTCCTGGATCTGAAGGGAACAAGGACGACGAACAGCAGCAGCAGCAGCAGCAGCAACAAGAATCGGCAGTCAGGAGGCCCGACGGGTTCCAGAGGGGTCCTCCGTCTTCCTCCTAATTCTGATTATTTTGTGGGGCCAAGAGGCGTCTGACGATCAGGGTCTAGACAACCTGAGGCGAGACGCGGCTGCCACCAGCAGGGAACGACCGTCGCAAATTATCCTCTTCATCACCGTTCTCTCTCCGCCGCCATTTTGCTGGCTCGCCTAATTAACATTGCGCGCTTCGGGCTGCGCCAGGCGCCTGGGGTGGTTATCTTTGCGCGCTCGCGCCATCCCCTGTTGAGCGAGTGCCTCCCACGAGCTGCGAAGCATGCTGCTCGCGCGTCCCAGGCCAGATCCCAACGGAGGTCAAGTCATCTGTCTCCTCCTCCTCCTCCTCCTCCTCCTCCTCCTCCTCCTCCTCCTCCTCCCCTCGCCCCCACGCGGGCCCCAGGGATGGCCCGAAGAGGCCCTCCAAGGCCATGCCCTTGGCTCCCAAAGATCTCTCTGTGGACCCTGGTTTCCCGCTTTGTTTCACTACATGTGTCTCTTCGTCTCTTTTCCCGTCAACTCTCATGGGCAGGATTTTTGAATGGGCTGGTGGGGACACGCGAAGGGTGAAAAACACGAACCACATCTTACGATAAGGGGGGGCACAATGTGCATGCCAACTTACGGCCACGATGCATTGTAAACAGCTGTGCTCCCAACCAAGCCCACGATCTCATATCCGCACTGCGAGCAAGACGCGCCGCAGGCCCAAGAGACCCCCCGGGTGGACGGCAACACACTGCTGGCAACACTTGCGCTAATGCGCTCATGATGCTGCAATGTCGGGATCGCACACATATATATATATACACATCTATAAATTGTTATTTATTTATTTATTTATATATATATATATATATATATATCCATTCTCAATATCGCGAAGGCGACGACGACTGCCACCGCTGCCATTACCACGGCCACTACCATTACCATGGCTTCTCCGCTGATTACACTGGGTACCCTCGGGCGCGCCAAGGAAGTGTCCTGGCATGCACTTTCAGGCGATTTGTTGCACCATCGTGGACACTGCAGCTTCCTAAGCTAACTCTCATCGACGATACAAACATCGATGCCCGCCTTCGCCGGCCTTCGCCGAGTGAGAAGAGCGACAGGTCGCACAACAGCGGGGCAGGCGCCCTCGGAGACTACGATCGGGAACTTTTGCTTAGCTTGTCGCGGCGGCGGCCCCTGTGAAATGCCATGCCTTGCAGGCGGGTAGCGTGTCGCTCGGCTCCGAGGTGGCAGGCTGGGAAGAGCTCGGGGCGTTGACGCTTGTGGATTAAGACGCGGTTAGCGTACCGCGCAGAGGTGTGGTGGGTCAGGAATCGGAGGAGCGACACGCTAAGCAAATCCAGGGTTCGCTAGGAACTGGTTTTCCCCAAAACGACCGACACCTTCCCGATAACTTCCAGAACCCCTCCCCGAAAGGTTCTTGGAGGCTTTTCAGAAGGTTCCGGCAGGTTTCAGCAGGGTTTCGAAAGGGTTTGGGTCGTTGTGTGGGAGGGCCAGTCCCTAGCGAACACTGGGCTTTCTAACCGTAGACGCTCTCAGAGACTAAGACAAATGGCACAGACTGCCCATCGCCTCACAGCCTGGACACGGGTGCCTCCCTCTCGCCATCAATGCACGCGTGCTGACGCGTTGAGGAGAAGTCGTAGCTGTAGATCAGCTGCACTTCTTCGGCAGACAGCTCCTTCATTCGCACGAGGGGGCCGATGAACTTCTCATAGGCTGGGGCGTCCTTGAACACGAGCCCCCCGAGAACCTCGTTCTTGTTCCTGAGCAGTTCCCTGCAAGAGCGCATGTTTTCATTATTCGCGATAACGCCCGTGACCAGCCCCTCCCTTCCCCACCTTCCCTCCCCACTGGTCACATCACGATTCGCGCAAGCTCCATCTGGGAATGAACTATTCGTAAGCATTCCCGGACGGCGCCGGCCCGTTATCGCAAGGGGGTGAAAAACAGTCTCCAGGAGAAACAGAGGGGAATGGGAGGGTCGGATGTTGCCAAATGTGTCCCTGGCACAAGGTGTCCAGGACTTCCAAGGAGGCCCCCGCGGCCTCCGGAGCTACCCCTGCGAGGCTCAGGAGGTCCAGCGGCTCCAAAGTTTTGCGAGCAGCTGGAGACGCCTTGGGCCAGGACCACTTCTAGAAACATCCGAGGGGCCCAGCACGAGCCTCAGGAGGCCATGATTGAAGAAGAGCGCTGGCATCGAGCGAAAAGCACGACGTCGGAGAGGTGCGGCTCTGCAGGAGGTGGAGAGGGAGGAGGAGGATCCTGTTCGGGGTCTTGTTCGGCCGATAATGCCCGCCACAGGTCAGGGAAACGGGCGCTTGCTGGCACCTTGCAACTTGTTCTACGCAGGAGCCCCTGGTTTGGGATGGCGCCCCTCCTGCAAACGCGTCAACCTACCCTTGGACGTCCGACTGTTGGCCCCCTTGCAGGGGCTCTCGATCGGATTCTTCCACCGACACTGGGCGTACGAGGCGCACAGTCGACGGAGAACACACGTTGACCGAATTACAAGATGCTGTCCCAGCATTTTGGGCATTGAGAAGGCGATCCCGGCGGGTTATCTCGACTATCTCGGAGCCGGCCGTCGGTCCGCTCTCGGTCAAACGCGGGGGAAGAGACGGCATCAGAGGAGGGGGAGTCGATTCTACGGCCGTGGTCCCTCCGAGATGCGTGATGCTGTCCTCGGTGGCGCCGGATACTGTGCCCGCAACATCCGACGCCATCACTCCAAGCCGAACAGCCACTCCACTGCATCTGCTACCATGTGAAACTTCTGTTTATACACCCGCTGCTGCCAGAACGGATGATTGTTTAGGACGCTCCCCCGACTCGCGCTGTTGCGCACGAGTCGCGGGGGCTTTGATCGTCTGAATGGTGACCCCTCGGGGCCCCAGACCGCCCAGAACATTAACACGAAACCTAAACCCACGCGAGAGGTCGCTGTGGGCCCTGGCTGGGCGGGAGCACCACTCTTCACCCCTGCTGGCTCCACCTACGACGGCCTGGCGATCACAGTGCATCTTTACTGGCTGGATGGCACACCTCAAGCGCATGAGGATCGCATCGAGCTCTGCGGGAGAACTTCCTACCGATTCTTGGGGAGGTGCAAGGGTCCAACACTAGAGAGACTCCACTCCTCGCCACCGTCCGAGAACTGCGCGTACCCCATCCCGATCTGCGCAAAAAGAGATGCTCACCGTGCCACCATGAACCGTCGGAAAGCATTTGTCCTGACACGTCTCCTGTGTGATCTCCTTCTCCTTGCACCTCACACGCCATCGGGAGATCATCCAGGAGCCTACTCGGGTCCTCGGTTAGGCCTCGAGCCAGCAGGAGTTCGAACCCTGGGTCGGGATTGGTACCGCGCTGCTGCATGTGCCCACCTCCTACTTTCCTACGCCACTCATCACGCGCGCTGCACACGTACGTGCGATGCAAGCCTGTGCCCACACACTGCTCGCACGCCTGGCACAAGGGAGTTGCAGCTACAATTGCAGAACAGCGCAGTGACCCAGAGCTAGCCTGGGCGCACGACAAATCTCAGCCTCCTCACGGGGGAGCCCACACCTGACCTCACCGTGGAGGGTGCCCACGAGACAAACGCGAGAGAGGCCCCCGACCCTTGCCAGCGGGCGGCCCACGTTCCAACAGCAACGTCCTCGGCTGTGGGACCCCGACCGCCCCGCAGGTCAGGCAGTACAGTCGACCCGTATCGTAAGGATGCACGGTAAGGGTGCAAGGGCCTTGGACGCCCATCTCGAAGCTTCTCGAGCGGGGCGCGGCCAACGAAAGTGGCCAGGGATGGACCGAGGCAGGGATGCAAGGGTACCCTTGGGAAGGTGGCCCATCCTTGGGATGCAAGTGTACCCTTGGGAGGAGGAGGAGGACGAGGAGGAGGAGGAGGAGAAGAGGAGAAGGGGATCAGCGCATGACAAGCTAGGCCTTGCCCCTCCTACCTCCCTCCCCTCCTCCCTCCTCTCCTCCTTCAACTCCTCCTCACCCTAACCCTCATCCTATGTCGTGTAACTCCTCCTCCTCCTCCTCATTGCTCCTCCTCCTCCTCGTCCTCCTCCTCCTCCGTCTCCTCCTCCTCCTCCTCCTCCTCCGCCTCCTCTTCCTCCTCCTCCTCCTCCTCCTCCTCCTCCTCCTCCTCCTCCTCCTCCTCCTCTCCGCCTCCTCCTCCTCCACCTCCTTCTCCTTCATCCCCTATTATTCCTTCCACCCTTCTCCTCCTCCCCTCTCTCTCTCGTCCTCCTCCTTCACGACCGCCGCATTGGCTCTGCTACCCCTCCTCCTCCTGTTTTTCATAGTGTTCCTCCTCCTCCTCGTCCTCCTCTCCTCTTCCCTCCACATGCCTCCATCCTTTCGCCGAGCCCGTCTTTCCTCCTCCTCCTCCTCCTCATCCTCCACCCCTCCCCCATCCTCCACGCTCTTCCATCCTTCCTTCCTCTTACCCACGGGACTCACAAGAAGGGCAACCAGAACTCGCTCCTGGGAATAAGGGTTGAGACCTCTGGGGCCCGCGTCGTAAAGCCACGGCGCGCAAGGCATGGAGGGGCCAGGAAGGGAAAAGCTACGTCAACATTTGCCTGGGAGCTGAAGACACTTCTTCGCAGGCAGGCCCTGTCAATGCGCCGTGCAAGTTCCTGGGCCGCGGCGGCCTGTCACCATCCCCACCCAAGCGCAACGAGACGCCGCAAAAGGAATCCTTGTGTAATGCCGCCACAACAAGAAATCATGCTGTAAGGCCGACGCAGAAAAAATGTTGCAAAGGCGTCAAAAAATCATGTCGTAAAGCCGCCACAAAAGGAATCCGGATGTAAGGTCGCCACCAAAAAACGTTTTATTGTGTAGGGCCGCCCCAAAAAGGAGTCCTTTGTAAGGCCGCCGCAAAAGGAATATGTTTGCAAGGCCGCCACTGAAGGAATCCTTTTGTAGAGCCGCCAGGGGCGGGCAGGCGAAACTGATTAAAAACATACAATTTGAAGCTAACCAAGGGCATCCTAACAGTTCTATACGGAGAAACGCAACACCGAAAACAAAAAACAAAGTTTCTGACGGCTGGTGCACACGAGACCTGTGAAAACACAAGGTGTCATGACATCGGGGCGACCAAACCATGTGTCTTCGTAGGTTCCGTGGCGATAAGGTAGCATATAGTGGTTTTATGTTTGTCGCGCGGTATATTGCCTTCTTCGCATTTCCATATTTGTCATGTTTTCTTCGTGCCTGTTTTGCTTTCTTCGCATGTTTTTGCATACTCTGCACTCTTCGCATGTTTGCCTGCCCGCCACTGGCGGCGCCAAGGACCGGCGCAGCGCCAGGGCGCGAACAGGCAAAGGCTGTGGCGCCTCGACGTCATGGAACACCGTATTTTTTCACAGGTATCTTGCGCACCAGCTGTGAGGAACCTTGCTTTTCCGAAGGTTCTGCCATGTCTTCGCATGGATTTCGTGGGAGGCATTTGGCTTTCCTTATTTTTTTTATTTTCTGTAAAAAACTGTATCGTATTTTTGCCTGCCAGCCCCTGGCAGCGCAAGAGCCGACCTGAGCCAGGGCGCGAACATTCGAAATTGCAAAAAAAACAAAAACAATCAGAACAACCAAGAAAACCGATAATATCCCCAACAAAAACACACGAAACAGTTAACCGAGCTAGAGAAAACCAATGTTTTTGCTGCCCGATCGCCACGAAGCCTGTGAAAACATGAGGTGTTGGCGCCTCCACGTCACGAAACATTGTGTTTCCACGGGTTTCGTGTGCACTGGCCGTGAGGAACCTTGCTCTTCCTCAGGTGTTGCAGCTTTTTCGCGTGAAGCTCTTCGGATACTTTCTGGGGGGGATGGGGAGGTTCTGACGATTTCGCGTTTTCACCTGCCAGCCCCCGGCGGCGCGAGGGCTAGCGCAGCGCCAGGGCGCGAACAGGCGAAAATGCGAAATCCTCCTCCTCCTCCTCCTCTTCCTCCTCCTCCTCCCTCATACCCCGTCTCATACCCCTTCTCGGCATCCTTCCGACTCCCTTCTCAACGTCGTCGTCGTCCTCCTCCTCCTCCTCCTCCTCCTACTCTTCCTCCTCCTCGTCCTCCTCCTCCTCCTCCTCCTCCTCCTCTCCCTCGTCCCCGTCCTCCTCCTCCTCCTCCTCCTCCTCCTCGTCGTCCTCCTCCTCCTACTGTTCCTATTCTTCCTCCTCCTCCTCCTCCTCCTCCTCCTCCTCCTCCTTCTCCCGCCTCCTCTTCCTCCTCCTCATCTTTTTCCTCGTCCTCCTCCTCCTCTTTCTCGGCATCCTTCCGACTCCCTCGGCATACCCCTTCTCGGCATCCTTCCGACTCCCTCCTCAGCGTCGTCCTCCTCATCCTCTTCATCCTCATCTGTTCTCCTCCTCCGCCTCCTCCTCATCCTTCTCCTCTCCTCATACTCCTCATCCTGCTTGCAAGCCGCCTGAGGTCGGCGGTAGTGTTCCTCGCGTGGCCAGAGGGGTACATCACCAGGCCGCTCGAGTACTTTCGAGGAGGGGGGGGGGATGAGGACCAAGAGGAGGATGAGGAGGAGGAGGACGACGACGAGGACGATGATAAGAACAAGAAGGATGAGCGGGAGCGGGAGCGGGAAGGGGAGGGAAGAAGGGGAGGGGGAGTGGGAAGAGGAGGAGGAGGAGGAGGAGGAGGAGGAGGAGGAGGAGGAGAGGAGGAGGAAGAGAGAGGAGGAAGAGGAGTGGGAGGAACGGGGATAGGGGGAAGAAGGGAAGGATGATGCTGATGATGATGATGATGATGATGATGATGATGAGGAGGAGGAGGAGGAGGAGGAGGAGACGGATAGGGAGGATGGGAAGGGGGAGGAGGGTATTGGGGGGAACACGTAGGAGGAGCAGCAGCAACATAAGGATAGGGAGATTGGGGAGGTGGCAGAAGGGGTGGATAGCTTTAGGAGGGGGAGCGGGCAAAGCGGCAGGCGGACAAGAAGAAAGACCAGGACGAGGAGCAGGGTGAGTGGTCACCTTCCCACCGCCTTTGACGAACACGTCGATTGACGTGGGGATGCCGTCGGGGTATCTGCTGTCGAACTCGGGCCCGCCGTGCTCGAAAGTTATCCTGGCCATCAGGGACCGGGTCCTCTCGTCCAGCAAGGCGTCCTTCGGAAGCCCCGTTCGCTGCGACCGCTGGCCCAATCCCCCCTCCCCTCCCGCAGATCGCGGGGGGTCACGAAGCTGTGCGGTGACCGACCGTGCAGCGACCTCGGACCCCCGAGAGACCTCACCGCACGGGCTGTCACCCCAACGTGGTTTGCGGACCTGAGAAGCCCCAGTCGTGCGAGACATCCCTGGAAAGCAACCCAAGTCCATACACAGCTCGGGCACCCACAAACGCACCACATGGTGCGGATAACAAGCGCAGCTGCAGCCATCGTGTTACCACAAGGAATGCCGAGCAAGTGTTGGGAGTGCTACCACAGTAATCGTGCTACCACAAGGAGTGTTACCACAAGGAATGCTTGTTTGGTCTCGGGCAGGAAGCGGTTCTCCGACCCAGGTCTGAGGATTGGCCCGAACACACAAGCTCCTCCTGAGCCCGAAGTGGTCCTTGTTTCAGCGACTTGACGGTAATGTCGCTTTCGAAAGCTTCCAGAGGTTCACGAGAATGTTTGGATACTTTCTCATGCTGTCTGTGGCTCCGTGCGGGCTTCGAATGTAAGGCTTTTTCTTGTGTTTGAACGGTTATCGGAGGGCCCCAAGAGTCTCTGGAGGACCCTGGACACCCCGCACGGGCCAAACATACCTCGAAACCTCGAACCGCAATTTAGGATCAGGGATCGAGGTGCTGAGGGACAGTCAAGCTGGGTCGCAACTCCTGGGAGGTCTTCGCAGGTACGGCTAGGAAACACCATGCTGGATAGAAAAGATACTAAGCCATATTAAGCTGGATACCCTTTACTAAATCACTAACTCAGAAGAAGCTGGATTTAGCTAGACTAGGATCAAGGCAGCGAGAAAAAACAGTGCGGACGCGGCTTCAATAAACCCTCGCAAGAACTTCAACCCTGCAAGTCCGCGCGCGAGGTGCGCAGGGTGGTTCGTCCTCGTCGTCGTCATCGTCGTCGTCGTCGTCGCCGTCGCGGTGGAGACCTGCAAGGTGGGGGCTACTCTCTGGTCGGACAAAAGTGGGAGTTAGCAAAGGGGGACTGGCGAATCAGCTCACGCAGCTGACTTCCCAGTGGCTCCCGGCGCTGGAGGCGCCGATGCATCGAGAAAGGAGCTTGGCTGCGAGGCCAGAGCCAGCTGCATGCAGCAGATTTCCTACTTCCCCCTTTCCCTATTCCCCGACCTTTCGTCTGAACCCATGCTCTCTGGCTCTCCCGAGCTTGCCCTTCTCCCTGCTCGCAGGCCAGGGGATGATGGACCCAGACCCTGGACCTCTAATGTCAGGGCGGCTGGCCTTTTCATTATAGTTGGGTGTCTGGAGGGCCGTTTCGGGCCCCGGGATCTTCAACAAAAAAATCTGGGAAAAACACCGGCCATAGAGCAAGGATCGAGGGCTTCAGAAGCCATGGATAGACAAAAACCGCATGACGTCCTCAGACATTCGACGAACCGCCTTTTTCAGGTCGCCAGCCCCTGAAGGAGCAGGTGCACACGCCAGCCGACGCAGAGGCGAGCAGAGGGGGGAGGAGGAGGAGGAGGAGGAGGAGGAGGAGGAGGAGGAGGAGGAGGAGGAGGAGGAGGCGGAGGAGGAGGAGGAGGAGGAGGGGGAGGAGGACAAGCTAGGTGCGCTCGCGTCATGTCTGACATCCTACCCCTCCCTCCCATCCCTTACCATGGCGCAGATCCCCTCTCTACTCGCACAGTCGGATGTCGAGCAGGGCAATGATCCCGAAAGGGTACGCGATGCATTGTAGAGCACGGCATGGCATGGCGTAGAAGAGCACCGCAAAGCGTAGTATCAACCTAGCATTGCATTGCACGCCGTGGCATGGCACGGGAAATGACGCCAGCGCTGCAGCGGGAGCACGAGTCGAAACGAGCGGAAGCGCGGAAATGAGGCCAGCGCTGCAGCGGGAACACGATTCGGAACGAGCGGAAGCGCGGAAATGAGACCAGCGCTGCAGCGGGAGCACGATTCGGAACGAGCGGGGCCCGAAAATGAGGCCGGCGCCTCAGCGAGAGCAGCATTTTGAAAAAAATGCAAGCGAAAACCCAACTCCCGGGACACCTGTGTGTAAAAAACAGGACGCGGGGGGGGGGGCGAACATTCCCAGCACGTCATCAGAGGAAGAGGGAGAGTAGTATTCTCATTGAGCAATTGTCGAGGAGGAGGAGGAGGAGGAGGAGGAGGAGGAGGAGGAGGGGGGGAGGAGGAGGAGGAGGGAGGGAGGAGGAGGGAGGAGGAGGAGGAGGAGGAGGAGGACAGGAGGGAGGAGGAGGAGGGGAGGGAGGAGGAGGAGGGAGGAGGAGGGAGGAGGAGGAGGATAGAACACCACAGCTTGCAGCTAAGGTCGGTCTAACGTGAAAAGGAGGATGAGCAGGAGTGGGAGCAGGAGGAGGAGGAGGTCGCGGAGGAGGAGGAGGAGGAGGAGGAGGAGGAGGAGGAGAAAGAGAATCTTGACCCCTTCCCCGGGACTGGCGTTTCCTCCTCAGCAGTTCAATGGCTCTCCAATGACCCCCCTGCGGGCCTCCAGGCACCGAGCAGTGCCAATCAAGCAACTTCCCACAAAGTGTCTGGACCCTGGTTCGAGTAGAGGATACTACAGATTTGATCTGCCCCTGAACTTATTCTCTCGCCGACTCTACGAGAAATGCGTACACTGCTCGTAGATCTATGAACATTCTCCGCATGTTTCTTAGATTCGACAAACAAACAAATTGTGGGGCAGAGGGTAGGGGAGGGGAGGGGGGGAGGGGAGGGGAGGGGGAGGGGGAGGGGAGGGGGAGGAGGAGGAGGAGGAGGAGGAGGAGGAGGAGGAGGAGGAGGAGGAGGGAGGAGGAGGAGGAGGAGGAGGAGGAGGAGGAGGGGGAAGAGGAGGAGGAGGAGGAAGAGGAGGAAGAGGAGGAGGAGGAGGAAAAGGAGGAGGAGGAGGAGGAGGAGGAGGAGGAGGGGGACGAGAAGGAGGGGAGGAGGAGGGAGAGGAGGAGGAGGAGGAGGAGGAGGAGAGGAGGAGGCGGAGGAGGAGGAGGAGGGGGAGGAGGATGAGGATGAGGAGGGGGAGGAGGAGGGAGAGGAGGAGGAGGAGGAGGATGCTGAGGAGGAGGAGGAGGTGGAGGAGGAGGAGGAGGGGGAGGAGGGGGAGGAGGAGGAGGAGGAGGAGGAAGAGGAGGAGGAGGAGGAGGATCCCCTACGCGACTGGTGAGGGGCGAAGGCGGAAGGGCGGGAGGAGAACGCCACAGGGGTGAGGTGCTGGACGGGTGGGCGCAAGCCAGGAGGGCGATCGGTCCTTCCCGTAGTCGTGCGGCGTCAGCATGAGCGCCTTCCAGGCCTCGTCTTAGGTCGGACCTGTCCCCCTACAGGCGGATCTTGGGCGAGAGATAAAACATAATCATCCTTAAAAACAGATCATCAAACATGATTGAAAAATCGTCCCCAGACTATTTTGTTGACTATATTTTTGAATAGTTCTCCTGTAGACGGACGTGCCCGACTTAAGCCTCGTCGCTGGAGCTGGGCACGGCGCGCAGATCCAGGGCCTTCGACAACATCCTCGAGACGATGAAGGCCATCGAATGGTCCGCTGACTGCCGGGTCTTGGGGTCCTTCTTCGCCGGGTCGCCGATGATGCCGTAGGCCGGCTCGTAGGCCACGACGTGTATGCGCTCGACCGCATCGTGGCCGGCCTGGGCCAGCGCGGGGTTCTGGACGAGCAGGGTGATGGCCAGGCCATGCCAGGGGGGGTCGCCACCAGGGGGGCCACCACCTCGTCCCTGGGAGGGTACGACATCCCAGGACCCCCACGACGACGACGACGCCGCCGAACCAACCATAGCGCCGGAACACGTCCAGGAAACCCCTCCTCCTCGATCCTCAGGAGGAGGCGGCGACCCCCCTGGTGGCGAGCCCCGTGGCAACTCCTGAGATTAGGCCTTCCAGCGCACCAGCGGACTGGTGTTCGTACAGGCCTATCTTGAAGTGCATGCCGCAGACGGCGAAGTCAGAGCCAGAGTGCGTCAGGACCAGGTTGAAGGGGGACGGGCCCGGCCCCCACCGGGTCTTGTTGCCCAGGGTCACGTCGATGAGATCCTTGTTCCTGTCGACGCCCGTGGTGGGCTCGAAGAAGCGGAAGATGCTCTCGGGGTTTCGGAAGACATCCTTGGCGGGACAGACCGCACGTCTCAACGCAGTCAAACCAGACTTCTAGCAGCTGCGCTGACGTAGCGTACAACATTGACGACATTGTATGTCAAAGTTTGGCGTTCCCGTCGATGCGTGGAAGCGGAGTCCGCCTCCCTCCTCCCCCTACCCCTTCTCCTCCTTTGCCTCACCCTCCCTCCTCCTCCTCCTCCTCCTCCTCCTCCGTAGCCATTTTGGCTCAAGGCCATGGCACCCTCCCGTCGGGTGCAAGTCTCTGCGAGGCGCTCTGAGCACCAAGGGAGGTGCTGGGCAGAGCGTGAAAATTTTGTTACCAAGTTTTCTGCGGGCCCGCGCGCTTCGGCATGGCCCCAGAAAGGAGGAGGACCGGTCCAGCCCAGGCAGCCCCGCCGCGCCCGTCAGCTCGGGCTTCCACGGAGCGGCAGCCCTGGCTGTGCAAGTCCTGCCAGACGGCCAAGGGCGCGAGGCTCCGCAACAGCGGCTGGAGCCTCGTGTGTTCGGGCTGCAAGCTGCACAAAAGGGTCGCTTTTGGCGAGGTTGTCGCGGGTGCCCCCGGCAAGCCAGCACCACGGGTCAACAGCCCGCCGCCGACCGCCGCCGGGCCCACGGGCGATTTCGCGCCCTGGCAGTATAAGGCCATGGAGGTCAAAATCCGCCAGCAGCTGCAGGCCAAGCACGACAAGGACCTCGAGCAGGCTCGGCGCGAGGGCGCAGCGGCCGCGACTGGTGGAGACGCAGCGCCGCCTCTGGCAGCGGCGGCGCCCCCAGCAGAGGACGCCGACGACCTCGCGCGCATCAAGAAGCTGGCGGCTCTCATTCAGGCGGGCGAGCACATGGGCGACTCGGAGAAGGACAACGTGCAGCGCTGGAAGACGGAGCTCGAGGCGCTGCGCACCAAGCGCCAGGAGACGCTCCCCCTCGGCAAGCGCTACCACGCCTGCAACCGCGACGTCAAGCGCTTGGAGGGCCTTTCTGCGGCGATCGGCAAAGACGTGGAGGCGACCAAGGCCGAGATCGCGCACCTCGAGGTCAAGCTGGCCCTCCAGCAGGAGCAGCAGGCCAAGCACGACAAGGACCTCGCGGCGGCCCGCGTGCTCCTCGCTGACCTCGGCAAGCAGCGATTCCACGGCGGGAAGGAGTCGGAGGTCATCCCCCTCCTTGAGGACGTCGTGGCAAAGCTCGAGGACCATCTCTACGACGAGGGCCTCGACGGCGCCGACGCGCTCGAGATCAGCCAACAGTTCCAGGAGGCCAGGGACCGCCTCCTCCAGAAGGTCTCGGAGGCCAAGGCGGCGCGCGACCGAGGCCCGCCGGCACCGCCTGAGGCCCCGGCGCCAACCGTCGCCCAGGTCCCCACCGTCACGGTCTGGGCCACCGCCGCCTCCAGCCGCGCCTTCCTCGAGTCCCTTGGCCATCAGGTCTCCGAGGACGACGAGGACGCCCGCAATGCGGCCAAGCGCTGCGCCGAGGCTCACCAGGCGGCCACGCTCGCCGCCAAGCGGGCCAAGGTCGACGATACCGAGGGCTCCCAGCTGTCCAAGGAGGCCGTCCGTGCGGCAGGGGACGACGCGGAGGCCCTTGGCCGCGAGGCATTGGCTGGGCAGCCTGCAGGCGCGGCTGGCGGGCCTCTTGCTCCTGCTGCTCCCGCGGCCGCCAGTGGAGGCCAGCAACGTACCTAACACGGGCCAGGAGGACGTTACCGTCCTCTACGGCAACATCACGGAGTGGGGCCCCCAGGCCAAGGGCTTTCTGCAGTCCGACCGCGCCAAGCGCTTCGACGGCATCGCCTTCGTCGAGCTGCACCGCGCGGAGAACCACTCCAAGTCCATCATCAAGGCGTTCCGCAAGGACGGCTGGAAGGCGACGTACTCCCCTGGGGTCTCCACGGGCAAGGGCGGCGTCACAGGAGGCGAGCTCACGGCGGTGCGCGCGCACCTCCAGGCCACCACCTTCGACCATTGGCGCGACGCCAAGGGCGCTGCGCTCTGCGGCTTCGCCCCGATGGTCCTGCACACGGCGGCAGGCAACATCATTGTGGTGGCGCTCTACTTGCACCCTGCGCTCGGCTTCGGCAAGCGCAACAGGGACACCCTCGTCGCGCTGGGGGCGTTCCTCGCGATGCAGAAGGCCCCGTGGATCGTCCTGGGCGACTGGAACCACGAGCCGCACCAGCTTGCCCAGTCGGGCTGGGTCGCCAAGCTGGGCGGCGCGGTCATCGCCCCCGACGTCGCCACCACGTGCGACAAAGGGCAGGGCCGCCTGCTGGACTACGGCCTCGCCAAGGACGGCCACCAGCATTTGTTCTCGCTGAAGGCCTTCCTGAAGGTGCCGTGGGCGACGCACTGCGGGCTTCAGCTCACCCTCCACGGCGCCCGCCAGAGATGGTAGTATCAGGCGCTGGACGTCCCGCGCAGCCTCCCGGCAACCATGCGCGCCAAGGCGGCGGCGGACCCCAACAGCAAGAGGTCCAGGCAGAGGCATGCCGCGCTCCAACGGCGGGCGGCGGCCTTGCCGGCAGAGCTCGGCGCCGATTTCGAAGAGGTGCAGTTGGGCCTCTGCCACAGCAGCGCGGAGGGCCCGCCAGCCAGTGGGCCGACTGTTGCCGTGCCCAGCCCCCGCCAGGATCCCGTGGGCCATGGCGCCAGCCCACGGCCAGCCCCACCCCCGGCGGATGGAGGCGGCTCCCTCCCTGCTGCCCAGGCCGACCTCGACTACCCAGAGGATCCGTTCCGCTAAAAAGTTGTGGTGCTGCATTTTTCCACGGCCCATGCTTATTTTTAGGGTTTTCCAGAATTATCTTGCATTGAAGAACGTGTTCCCGAATAAGAAAGCCGGTTCCCGAATATTTTAGATCGCGCCCGACCGTGCTCCCGAATAAGAAAGCCGGTTCCCGAATACATCGCACACTATGATATGTTATGTTATGTTGATTTATGCTATAGTATGGCATGTTACGTATGTTAGTTCATTATATACTATATATCATATATCATCTATATATATGTGTGAATATATATATATATATGTGTATATATATATACATATATATATGTATATATACACGGTTATTGTATATTATATGAGTTTATGTTATTATATGCCTTAATGTAATAGAACGTCATGTTTAATAATGACGCGATCTGGTACGTTGTGATTAAGTATCAAATGGTTCTATGAATAATGTGTGGCGTGACATATGTGATTACCGTATTGCGTAACATGGTTATGTGATGTATGGTGTGAGAATTCGCCGTAGTTGGTGGTACCATGTATGACATGTGATGAGTGTATACTAAGACGTAATGTTGATATCACATATGCGTATAGTTGTATAGATCAAGCACACCAAAGTAAGGGATTATCGTTGAGGCGGGCGTGATGTTTGTGTAATAATACTAGTAGTCGTAGTAGTAGTAGTAGTAGTAGTAGTAGTAGTAGTAGTAGTAGTAGTAGTAGTAGTAGTAGTAGTAGTAGTAGTAGTAGTAGTAGTAGTAGTAGTAGTAGTAGTAGTAGTAGTAGTAGTAGTAGTAGTAGTAGTAGTAGTAGTAGTAGTAGTAGTAGTAGTAGTAGTAGTAGTAGTAGTAGTAGTAGTAGTAGTAGTAGTAGTAGAGTAGTAGTAGGAGTAGGAGTAGTAGTAGTAGTAGGAGTAGTAGTAGTAGTAGTAGTAGTAGTAGTAGTAGTAGTAGTGGGTGGTGGTGGTGGTGGTGGTGGTGGTAGTACTAGTAGTAGTAGTAGTAGTAGTAGTAGTAGTAGTAGTAGTAGTAGTAGTAGTAGTAGTAGTAGTAGTAGTAGTAGTAGTAGTAGTAGTAGTAGTAGTAGTAGTAGTAGTAGTAGTAGTAGTAGTAGTAGTAGTAGTAGTAGTAGTAGTAGTAGTAGTAGTAGTAGTAGTAGTAGTAGTAGTAGTAGTAGTAGTAGTAGTAGTAGTAGTAGTAGTAGTAGTAGTAGTAGTAGTAGTAGTATTAGCAGCAGCAGCAGCAGCAGGAGGAGCGCAGTAGTAGTAGTAGTAGTAGTAGTAGTAGTAGTAGTAGTAGTAGTAGTAGTAGTAGTAGTAGTCGTAGTAGCAGCAGCAGTAGTAGTAGTAGTAGTAGTAGTAATAGTCGTCGTCGTCGTCGTCGTCGTCGTCGTCGTCGTCGTCGTCGTCGTCGTAATAGTGGTAGTGGTAGTCGTAGATGGTGATGCTCCGATATATATATATGTGTATATATGATGTATGAAAGTGCTGTGCGTCGTGTTGAGATATCGTGTTCCACTGCTGCGAGAGTATATGATCCGTGCGCACAGCCATGGCATATGGTGTGTCATGGTATGGGTCGTCTTGTGATGCACCAGACCATATGTGGTTGGGCGACGACATTGGGTGGTGGTGCATGTAGTGCCGTGGAATTGGATATTGTATATGATGTCGCGTATCGGTCGGGGAGGGACAGCTGCGGGGCAACAGGCGCCGACGTGGCAATACCTCGGCAGATCCACCTGGCGCACGGGTGGGCCTCTGGCGCAAGCGACCTTGCGCAACCGCAAGCACGGCGAAACTTCGGCAGACGCACCTATCACACAGAGGCCATACACAGCGCATGCGAAGCGGCGACGGCAATAATTGATAAATTTGTTTACAGATATGTGACACGTATAAGCATTTCTAACAGCAAGCACTGTTTGGTGAACACTGGAAGTAAGTGTATCGCGTGGTCGCGTGGGAGTGTCAGGTGAAGTTCGGGGCAGTGCGCGGACATGTCGCAAGACTGCGTGTAATTTAATAGAAATGAAATCCAAGAGTGGCCAACACATGATGCGAGTGGCGGTCTACAAATCAATGCCCGGAACGATGAGTAAATGCAATCACAGCGCCAACAACGTGGGAAGACGCGCAGACGGGGAAGACGATGTAGATGAGGAAAGTGGTGCGGTGAATGAGTGGCATGCGGATGACTGGCCCCTGAAAGTGTGAGTCAGACGTGTCTGAAGGATGAACTAAGAAGGGTGAACGAACGATAGTTCGATATAGGAATCTGCGAGCAAAGAACAGTGGCACGACTAGACAATATTTTCCCGATCACACATCTGCGAACGTGTACCGATATTTGTCCATGAGCTTTGTCCCCATCACGGACGGATGAATCGTTTCTGCGAGATCAGCTGCATCTCCGATGCATGATTCATCTGCATACTCCCAGTGGTCCTCGCGATAAAGACGTGACACGTATCAGCAGACCACCAGAACAACTAAACAAACCTATATGTAATATGACATAACCATGTCTCAACATATACTAATGTCATATGGCGGATGCTTTTACGTGACTATACTCAAGAGACTGTAATATGCCAGAATTGTTTGTTAGATGGCATGCAGTGTATCGGAGTGGTGGTGTGTCGGTGTACTACTTACAGAACAAACCAACACATGTCATATGTGGATGTTGTATCTCAATGTTATGCTATGTTGTTAGCGTTGTTTCTACGGCACCACAAAACGTAAACTGTTATATGACATAATTTTCTGTCATATGACATAATTTTCTGTCATATGACAGAAATTTCTGTCACATAACAGGTGTGTGTGTTATATTATTCGTGCTATTTACTGAAAGTTAAATCAACCAATTGTCGTATGACAGAACGGCCGATCCGTATATTGTAATGATGAGAATGCATGTGTTAACCCTATATGATCAACACCGTCAAATGACAGAATTTTCTGTCATTTGACAGATTTTTCTGTCATGTTGTGAGTGTTTTCTATTTCTAAAACACATATATCAAATAATTATGTAATAGAATTTTCTGTCATATGACAGAAAATTATGTCATATGACAGAAAATTCTGTCATATGACATACGTGTCCGTCAAATGACAGAATTTTCTGTCATGTGATATATGTGTTTTATCATGGAGTTGTCACAACATGTGTACAGTTCTGACGAAGAGCAACCCAACCACCTACTCTGAGATGATTACATACGCATGTTTGGTATTCTGTATGTATGTATGTGTATATATATATAACTGATGAGTGCACGTGATCGTATATATGATGATGAGTTAATGCACGCGTATGTCGTACGAGTTGGTGATATGGAACGTGCCATTCTATATCTATTTATGGTTTAGTGTGCGTATGGCGGAGACCAGCCGTGGTAGCGTTATAATATGATATAAGAAGTGTGATTCGTGCAGTGTAGTATGTAGGCGTATGATTTACCCTCACAGTCCGCGGGATTGCCAGGCGAGCATTCTTCTGCAACCTCGAGGAAGAGGTGGTGTTTCGGCTTGAGCATCCAACACAAACTGTCCAACCGTGTACTCTGAAGCTCCTTGTATAGGATGAGGTGGCGCCTAGCATATTCTGCGAGCTTCTTGGGACTCTCGCTGGGATCCCAGAACTTGCACTCGTTGTAGCACAGTGCAAGGTAATGAACACAACTGCGCCTGCGAATTCAAACACAACGACCAACTGGTCGCAATCTGCGGATCTAAACATGGCTGTGCATACGTATGTGTGTGACATTGCTGTGTATATGTATGTGTGTGACAGAGGGGGCGGGGGAGCGGTGTTTAAGTCAGTGCAACACGCACCGTGTGCGTTGATGATCAGTATTGCAGGGCATCAGTCTGAGCAATAGATGATCGAGGATCGGGACCAAATACCGCCCTTCAGCAGCCTTAGTTTTCATCTTAGGTGCCTTCGTAGTCTTGACACGAAACATCCCACACGTTAGGTTCCCAATCGGGCACGGCGTGCCAAGAGCGTGGGATGCAAGCTCCAGTAGATTCTGCATGATGGTCACAACCTGGGGTGCCACGGCGACGACCAATCTATAATATCGGGGCGGAGTGGTGGGGACACATGGGGAAAATATCTAGCAAAGGCGATAGGGCGAGTACCACCAGGAACAGCACAGAAGCCGATAACACACAGGCAGAAGGTATCGAGCTCATTATGCGGAGCAAGACTGGAGTGGGAGTGGGGTGATACTTAACGGTGAGGGCGTGGTGGGTGGGGGTATATAGAGAAAATGTGAGTTTGCCCAACACCCTGCGCGGCTGCGTAACTCGACCGCCCAACTCTACGAAAATCTCCCACATCACGTTTCCCAGGGTCTCCTGGGTCACGCCGAGGCACCCCACGTGCATGAGGCCAGGTCGCAAATATATCCAGGAAAATCCTGGAATCTGCAGCGGTCCAGTGTCGACCACCACATCACCAGAGCGCATCAGTTCAACGTAACGCTTGGCACTGTACACTCCACGTCGCCACCTCGCATCGTTGCCAAACTCGCCCAACTCTGCAACCGTGCACGGACAGCGGTAGCATATCTTTGTATGTCCAGGCCCCCCTCGCCACCCTGTAATGTTGAACACACCTTTGAACCATGCCCAATCCCCTCTGTAATCGATGATGCCACCCCGCGTTCGCATGCGCTGCCCTGATCTGGCAGCCCTCTGTTTATCACCCCGGAACTCGGACCCCTCGAACGGTGTCCCATCGTGTCGATTCTGGGGCCACCTCCCTGTAACCCAATATCGACACATCCATCCGAGAACTTTCCAAACCTGGGACACATGCACAGATCAACGTTGCACCCCAAGACAGACAACACGGTACCTATCTACTGCCAACATCCCGTACCCGCCCGATTCCCAGACCAACATTGCTCTCTTGGGAACAATTCGCCAATCTTGGCGTGCAACGTTATCCTATACAATTCAGGTGACGCCGAACATTGCTCGCAAAGAATCGTGCCATATCGAGTCCGATGAGACATATATACATATGTATGTATATACACATAAATGTAGGATTGGGAGGTCGCCACACAACCGTAGATATTGATTAGTAGGAAACGAGGGATTCAATGCGAGCAAATGGTCACCGTACTTGAAAGCAAACTCACCTCGCGGAAAGTACACCTGCCTCCGCAGCCGCATTGACACACGTGCCGCTTGCTCAAACAAACAGCCCAGTAACGCTTGCGGCACCTGGGGGACGATTCCCTCTAACACACACGTGTACGTCACAACACGATGTGATCCCAATCATGTGACGGGGTAATGTTATTGGGGCGGTCGGGAATGGGTCGGGGGGGGGGTAGTGGGCGCAGGTTGGGCACATTCTATATCTGCCGCACGGCACGTGCCAGTAAGTGCTGTGATGGTGAACATGCACAGGCTGTCACGCGTGTGGTAGGGGGCACCGTCCCCCCATAAGCCGCACATGATCATGCCGTCTGTATCGGCGTGGCTGATGCCGATGCGCTCGGCCCATTCAAAAACTTGAGGGCGGAGCGCCTCCTGCAGGCGAGCAAACGCGCGGGCGAGAGCTGGAAAACATGTAGCTGACCGATCATGTCGGGAACCAGCAGGCATTAATCTAATGATTTAGGGGTTGGGTGGCACGAGTTTGTTACCCGTGCTCCTGGTTCGCATCGTAGCTGGACCAGTGTGCTTCATCCCCTGGCTTGATGAGCGCTGTCTCAAGGATCTCTGTGAACAATAAAAAACTTATTATGCCAGTGGTCTGTGCACCTGTTCGACGATCCCACAACGGTAAGCGTGCTTGATATGGTTGTGGCATGTTTGTTTTCTGGAGACGGTTTTGTATTGCAGAGACGCATTGTAGACGAATCCAGCCGTGGCGTACGATTGGTCATCCCCGACCGAGACGGCACCCCCCAGTGCACAGCTTAAGACCCCCAAAAAACGCTCCTTCTCGAGCTTCCTCATCAGATCTCTCTGCGCGTTGGTCTCGTTGGTTTTCGTCTTGGCGATGCGCTTCCAGCTCGCCAACTGCTCGCACGTATTTCTGTCGTGTAATCCTGCCCTGGCTCCACGACCAACCTCCCGAGAGCTAATCTTCCCCCCGCACCATAAGCGATGAATCCACGAACTCAACTGACCAGTTGACTGCTTCTCAAAGTGTCGCTGCCGCACCCCGCGGCCAGGCATCGCATGGCACTTCTCAAAGTGTCTGCGCAGGTGCCGATGCCAGCGACTCGCACTACAAAGCCAAAACTGCGGCGACAGCCACTGTGACCAACACTCAGCGTGTGCAACCCCAATCTTGGATGTATATCGTGTGTCTCATCTTAGATCCGCACCCCCATAACAACAGACCCGATTCCACCATCCACAGTCAGAATAACGATGTAACACACCGTACGCACATTGTATTGTTTGATGCGCGTGTCTATCATGCGGCATGCTGTGGTATCCTGAATAGCATGTACCATGCTGCGTTAACACATGTTGTGCTAGTTGTGATGGCTGTCAGACGGCTGCGGTATTGCGCATCGCCCGAGTAGTAATGATCGCCGACATGTAATTGTTAATATTGTTGCGATACGCAATACCGCAACTGAATACGTGTTTTGTGGTACAACCCCGCACGACAGATCTGGTTAGACATACGCCTGGTGATAAAGCACCATTGCGACATGGCGTGCTTCAAACGAAATGATCAAGCACATCACCAATCCCCAACGAACCCCAAAACACCAGCATACATGCTGGTCGGAAGTGGCAGCCGTAAACGGCCAGTGAAATCAGATGCACCCTTCGATGCGTCTGAGTAGTGCTGCACGTGCATGGCTCATACTCACTGGTCAGCGGTCGACGTGATCGCACAGCCGTGAGACATTTTCTTCAGATCGCTCCAGACCCGCGAATCGAAATCCTTGAATACCTTCACGAGACAGTCCGTCGCCTTCTCCACCTCCGTAGTTTTGACCTTGATCTCATCAGTAGAGATACCCTGGGCAAGCGACAGTGGAGACGCAAGACGGAGACGATTCAGCGGACACGGCCAACTATAAATGATAATGGGGATACGGGGTGGGTGAATTGGGGGGTGCACGTGCTATCCGATCGGATAGCGCTATCCGATCGGATAGCGCTATCATGCCGTAGTGTCATAGTAACACAATGCGCATTGTGTTACTATGACACTACGGCATGGATGCCAAATTGTCATATTATCACAGAAAATGTCCGGATGGGGTTACACAGCGCCCCTGACCTGGAGCTTCTGTCCTACCAGAGTCTGCTCGATGAACGCCTTGACGGCGCCCAAGACCTTTGAGATATCGGCATGTCACAACTGTAATGCTGGGATATCGGCTCGTCTAACACCAGGCTATGCGGCATGACGTATACATTATATAATGTACACGCCATGGGTGGGTGAGTAGGGTGTATAATGAGATTTGGTTGGGCGAGTAGGGGCAGTGTAATATTACACTGCCCCTACTCACCCAACAAAATCACGCACATATAGGGATGCTGGTCACCAACTCCTGAGCTTCATATCTGAACATATCATAGCCGCGTCGAATATGTGCAAGTTGAGTCCTCATCTTCATACTCCTCCTCCTTCTCCTCATCCTCCTCCATCGTCAGTATACCCGTCGAGCCTTGTCAGCCTCGTCTTTCAGGTACTGGCCCGTGGCGTCGGGGCACCCCTTCTCGTTCAGGAGCCCGATGGTCTGGGGAACCATCACCTCGCACACGTGGCGGAAGCTGGTGGACTTGGTCTTCGCCTCGTTGTACTTGGCCTCGTACTCTTTCTTGGCCTGGGCGAACGCCTGGTCGTTGGCGCGCTTGGCCTTCTCCTTCTCCTGGTCAGCCACAGGCATGTGCGCAATCTTGTCGAGAAACTCCTGCTCCTCGTTCTGGCGCTTCTCCAGCTCGGCAGCCTTCTTGGCCGCCTCCCTCTTCTTCTTGGCCTCCGCCTTCTCCTCCTTGCTCATGGGCGCGGAGCGGTCGAGGTCGACAAGAGCACCTGCTGCGGCACTCGAACTCGAGCCCGACGCAGCCGCACTCCAGCCATCGAAACCTTTCATCATCTCCTGCTGGGAGGCCATCTACGAGACTCAAGGGCCAGCCGCTGCGCAATCGGAGCGACGATTGACACGCCATACCACCAGACACCCAAAGGGGTGGCCGAACTGGAGACGCCCGAGAGCTACAGACCTCACGGCCCAGAAACCATCCACCCGCCAGATGTTAGATGGTGTTCGGCGATACGCTCAGAACACCATACAACATCGCAACACAGGAAAACCATATAGGCCACCAGGCGGCACGCTCTCGAGCGACACCATTCGGTATCGCATAGAATGGGGCGAAACACATCGCACCGCAACGTGTGTCACACGTGAGCTAAGTGAGCCCACGTACGACACGTCTTACACATCAACCACCCATCATCATGGAAACTGCCGTGGGAACGCACGTCCACGAGCATGGCGATAACATATGACACACGAACCATACACACCCATACATAATTTTTCCCTCATCACCGAACAGTCCTTCTGAACGCGTTCATAATCATCTGCCTCCATGCTAGCTTCGACCTCGACCGACGCAGAGTGGCTGGTGGAATCGATGAGCTTGCCCTCACCGTCGCATACATAATGATATTCGAGAATGCCAAGATCTCTGAGGGCACTGAAGAGCCGTGTTTCAAAACGGGAAGACGGAATTGTATGATAATGCCTAAACGGAGGAGGATGGCCAGGAGGAGGGGGACGAGGAGGAGGATGAGGAGGAGGAGGATGAGGAGGACGAGGAGGGGGAGAGGGAGGATGAGGTGTAAGATGCGGAGGCGGAGTATGTTGAGGAGTTGAATGATGAGGATGAGGAGAGACAATGGTGAAATAAGGGTGGATGACTGATGGACAGCATACACATAGGCGGAGAAGGAAGATGCCGACGAGGAGGAATCGATAAGGGATATGGGACAGCATATGTGGACATGGATGACTGACATACAAGAACGGGTGAGTGGCACTCATCATCAAGGGGATGATTGTCACGAGCGGCGCACATTACCAATGTAAACAAGACGCAACACACCGCCGAGCAAGTATGCAAGTCATCAAGACAAGCAAACAACCACCCGTTCAAGAGGACACAGCAAACAAAAACAAGCGATCCGTGAACGCTTGTGGGGACGCGACTCCAGGTCCGCGATCATCGCCAGCGCGTGCTCCTATAGGTTTTATATATACAGCGGCACATCGACTGCATCACTCGCAGTGGTAACGCTGTAGCTCCCGACGGTGTGGCACAATCTATCCAGCGGAGTTGCCAACATATACCATATATATATATATATGTATACACCGTTTACACATGTATGTATACATCGAACTATTCGTTAATACGGTTATATGTATATATGTGTATATATATATGCACGCACACGCACACATATACATGGCATGCCTATGTGTTCGTGTGTGCGTGTGCGGGGATCACCAGTACGCGCGTTGCACACGGTCCCCCGAAAGCAAAATGCAACGCAATGATCCTTGTTGTTCAGGTAGAGCGGGCCGCCCAACACGTCGAGCGTCACCCATACGTCGATGACCGCGTCCTCCCTCGTCCGCTTGATCTCAGTCTTGCTCCTGGCGAAGGGAATCGATGGGATCGGACGGGCACGGCACCGACGACTGTGTGCATAGGTGATGGGGGGATGGTGGCGGGGGGTCGGATGTCTCAAGGAACGTTAGGGCACCCCGATCGGGGATGTGGTGTTCAAACCATCGGTCCTGCCAACGCAACCCCCTGTCTTGGGGTCCATAATGAACCGTTTCAGCCAGCGAACCTAGCGGGGCCATGTGTACACACATATATGTATATGTGTATACGCCGATGCACACACACGCACCAACTAGGACCACGATCGCCCAGAACAATGCACAACAACCATCAGCGATCATTGGTCCAGGTTGGCGTGTGAGTGCATCGAGACATTGGGTACGGTGGTGCGTGCGAGTTACGGGTGATCACTCGGACCTTCTCGGTGTCTGTAAGAGCAGTGTCGGTGTATTCTTGCAGGCGGCTCGGCGAGTTCGACGCCAGGAAGTAACGCATGGCAGAGAACGGCCCCTTCTTCTCAACAGATGTCATTTTCGACAGAATCGCATCGAGCTTCGTCTCGTCGCCGCCGCGCGAATCCATCAGGGCCTTGATTTGTTTGGGAACGTTCGCGGTCTCGGGGATCGGCTCATGATCAATCTGCTGCTTCGGCTTGCCGCCCCCCCTGCCGCCCCTGCCACGGCCCTGCGACTTGCCTCTACCCTTGCCCACGGGGGCGCCACCGACACCTGGGAGGACAGCCAGCTTCGATGCCTTGGGAGCCATCGCTGCACGTGAACCAAACACGATCACGTGGGGCTCAGATATGTGCACGAATCTGAATATGCACTTGAGCCTCCGAGTCAACCGACGGCACGGAGATGGGCGAGGGTACATGGCCCATTGGGGGAGAGGGCGAACCAGTAAGTGTGAGAGGGGGAGGGCAAGACTCGAGCTAAATCGGGTGTTGGCGAGTTTGTGGACAGTTTTCGGTTTGGAGCTAGTTCATAACAACTGTGGGCCCAAGACATCTAACGAATGCAATAAACACCAAACCGAAAACGAAACACTTGATTTAGCTCGAGCCCTCTGGGATGGGGTGTAAGGCTCGGGTATATGAAGACGGGGACTGATCGAGTGAGACTCGTGCTGCCAGCATCGCATGGATCCGGTATGCCTGCTTTTTGTGCCAGCACCGATGGCCAACCAGTCAGAGTACCCACAACAATCAATTAGAACGATCGGGAGATGATTGAGCTCAAATATAGCTCTAACGGCGCATGCATGACCATACGCAACTCACAATGAATTACACCCGCGACGCAACCAAGCGTTGCGCGCAGCACTTGCGTCGAACGCCAGCCCCCAACCACGGCAATCCGTCGTGTGTGCTCTCATATGGGTGCCACACGGGCACATCCACGCAATCATTCGGGCATCGGATGGTCAACCCGCGACCGATCTGGGGCCCAAAATGCATGCTCAGTTTCCGTCATTTTTCCGTCATTTTTTCCGTCATTTAGTACCGTATAGTGTGTTTTCACAGGTAAAGTGTATATTTTATTAGATTAATATGCATTATCAAATGACAGAAATGTGGTATTTTTATATATGTATATATGGTTTTACTGGTTTCCGTCACTTTCCGTCATTTTTCTGTCACCTCATGTGTGTGGGTTCTTTATATATATATATATATATATATATATAGGGTTTTATAGTTTCCGTCATTTTCTGTCATTTTCCGTCATTTTTCCGTCACCGTGTGTTTGGGTTGGCACATGGTGTGTACGGTGCGTGCGTAGCGGGGCTAGGGTGGTGACTACATATCAGGGGCGACCGTTTCTATCATGTTCGGGGCTTGTCATTCGTGCATGGGGGGGGTATTGTGGGACCTGACGGCCATGATGCTATGCGCGTGACACTTCAGACGGTTAGTCTGATGTGACATGTGGGGCCCGTGCGGCCCACGGGCCACGAGTGAGATGCACTATATGTGACATATGTAGGTGATGGGGTCGGGTGGGTGGCCCCCCTGAACCACCAGAATACACCTCAGACGCATGCAAAACTGGGCAGTGAGGCGCACAACCTCACAAGTGCCCTACTCCGACTCGGAGTTGTAGTCGTAGTCGACGGGCGGCCTGAAGTTCACGAACGGGTTGGCGCGGCGCCTGGCGGCGGAACGGCGGGGCGTCTGGCGACGTGTGGGATGGTTTGTAGGGAGACGAGTGGGATAGGATACATAAGGGCGCCTCTCTGGAGTAGTTGCCAACGGAGTTGCCGCTGATGGCACCGCCGTGGAGGGAGTTGCAGCCGAGGAGGAAGCGCTTCCCGACGATCCCGAACCCCCCGCCAAAATCCTCGCGACTACGGGGGGGTGGCGCAGGGCGAGGTGGAATGATATGATATGGGGGTGTCAAGACTAATTGATATTGACTTGTGAATGTGACGCATATGGTGAAGTAGGGGATGGGGTGCGGTAACATTATCCACACATACGTGTCCTCTGTACACGCTGTGGTGGATCGAGCACAGGGCGCATCATAATAGCATAATGGCGTGATGGGCTCTCGATGGCGGTGCCACTGGAGTCGATCATGCACGCCTCGCAAACGTCGTCCTCGATCGTATATACAGTCGCGCACCCACGACACCGCCACGACACACCAGTAGGACGCTCATTGACAGGCACTGCTCCAACTTTGTCACCACCATCACCATCATCCAGAACGATCACACCGTTCGAGTCGTCGTCCATAGAATGCTTGCGTTTTTTGGGAGTGGATTTTGCATCAGATGTGTGACCACCGTCGTCACGAGCTCGAACCAATGGTGCGTCGTCAGAATCGTCATCATCACCAAGCAGGTCGCGACTCGGGCCTGGGACCATCCACTTCTTGAGCGTGTGTTTGTAGCCATACGGGCCAGCATTGTCACGCAGCGTCTTCCCCAACTTATCCTTCCAGGGTTTGGCCTCTGGTCGACACACGGGGCATACAAGCGAGTAGAGAATGTACAGTGTGATGAAACTGACTGGAATCGATCTGGATTCGGGAGCGACGTGATTGCACGGGAATGCGATACGGGCGGGGGGGGGCAACTTATGAATGTTGGGATGGGGGCCTCGGCAGTATACCACCAAGCTGGAAGGGTACAGCCCAATGATAATTGTACTGCCGCTATCTCCACCATATCATCTTGAGGACTCTCAGGCGCAGCGCCCACCACATGCACGGACTGAAGCGGAAGCAACATATACTCATATACACCAATTCGGAGCGGGCAGTGTGAGGGGAGGGAGGGAAGCAGGTCATACATATGAAATCGAGGCATGCGTACGTTAGCACACCCTGCTGCCTTCTTCGGAGGTATATTCCGCTGCTCACCATGGTCGGTAGGTATTCCATCAGGGCACACCACTGAGCACAACACCAGAGGCATGGCTCGCATCTGTTGCGTGGTGCTCAAGTACCTCTCGCGATGCGTGACTGCCCATATTCGCCAAACAGTTGATGCACTGATGACTTAGCTATAGAACACACTATATATCTCACCGCATCACAACGTAACGCCGATTTCTAGTTCGTGCAGTTTAGGTTACACAGCATGAGTTCAATCATATTGGTTGCGTTGTAGCACGTCAACATTGCACTGTTTGGGGTCCACACCCACTGCTGTTATACGGCACGCGTGTTGTGCTTAGGTGTATTCGTGCTATTACGTAGGTGCGTGTGTAGCTTGCAAGTGTGTTATGTCAGTTTGGTATGCGTACCGATGACGTGTGCGTGTGTGTGTGTGTGTGTGTGTGTTGCACGAAAACTAAGCATTAGCACGTGCAGTGGGTGTTATGGCCTCACACCTCCTTAGAACGTCCCGCACACCCTGGCAATGTCAATGCTGCAATATTGGGCTTCTTCATGTAGCGACATCGGATAAAACATTTTATGACATGAGCACAGAACCGCACTGGATACGCAGCTGAGTGGTACATCTCCTTTTTGAGTCCGTCGCCGTTGTCATCCATGAGTTTCTTGCGTGGCTCCGTGCATTCACATACAAGCCCAATAGCAAGCAGCCACCAGCATGACGACCAGAAAATCATCAACTTCTTTGGAACATCTCCAGGCGATTGACCAATACCACGGAACCTATTGTCAGATGTGAACGTTGAAGAAACGCTAACACATTACGAGATGGGGGTGTCATTGAATAAATGGGATGGGACGCGAGGGTGAACAAGCGGACCAGAGAGAGAGCACGATCGCACGACCTTGCTGTACATGAGAAGATACACGATCAGGATGAGACACGGGGTGACTACATAACATGCTAGCGCAGTGCGTTCATATGCCGTGCACCTGCACATATGTGTCCTCGTGCAGACGTAGTTGAAATCCACCAGCGTTCGGGTCAACGGGGGGAACGTGAAGATGTTGCTCCTTGCACGGCGATTGCATGGGCGTGGCATCTCCAATCGCCCCCGCAGTCGATCAAGCCTCAAACTAACATCAAACCTCAAACTAATATCAAACCTCAAACTAACACCAAAACAAAAACCTCAAACTACCATCTTATCTCTGAATTCGGGGGTATGCGCATGCGTTGGTTGGGCAACCCTGGCTCCTTCCCGGATTCTCGAGTACGCATCTCACGCCACGTAGTTCCAATACACGTATGAGGAAACTGACCTTACGAACCATCATATTCGCAAACCTCACATCTGGGTTACAAAGATTACCTTCAACGTGAGGCGGTGTCTCAGCTAGGTTGGCCGTCAGTTTTGCAGAATTTGTTTGGCCACACTTCCAAATGCACGATCGTTGTGTACAGCTCGAGCTGGCATATCCCCACGTGGAACACTCTGGCGCAAACCAGACAAGCCCATGTTCCTTCACCTGGGAGGAAACCCACGACACTGACAAAACCAACGTTTACCGACACAGTCCTGGGGCCCACTGGATATTACCGACGCGGTCCTGGGGCCCATGGGGTATAACAGGTTTGGTTGCATCCAGCCACATGGCCGTTAGAAGTGATGTCTCCAAAATCTTGAATCCGTCGGGCGTCAGGATGTCGTGGGCGGGGTTGTCCGTCCAGTCGAAGTGCCGATAAGGGAAGGAGCACGCGCCGACACGCGCTCAACACATGCGGTCTGGCACCGCCACGTTTACGTGAGCAAACGGGGCGATTGGGAGGGCGATGTCACATCACGGCGTTATGGTTTGGGTATCTGGAGCGGTTTTGGCAAGTTTCGCGGCCGAGGGCGGACCCAAACAACAAGGTGAACGAATGTGGGCACCAACACACCGAAACACGCACGCGCAACCGCGTGGACATACGTGTGCACGACATGCGCACATTCACACATACGTACACATCGGGGGATACGATCGGGCGACAGACAGAATAACAGAAAAATCTGTCACACGACAGAATTTTCTGTCAGATGGCGGGCAGTCCCATCCCAGCGCTGCCAAGCAGATAGTCCTTGCCGAACTGCTTCGGCATATAATCCAGCACTCCCAGAGAACACCTCGACGAAGTCGAGCTCCCGCTCGCACTGGACGGCTGCGACCTTCAGGCGTTGCGGCGGCAACAACCGCTGCCGCTTCACCATCCCATCATCATCGTCAGACCCCGTCCGCCCACCGAATCCTCTTCTGACACCCGAGATACAGTTCATGGGCGGGCACGACTCGATGATTCTGCATGGGTGAACATAGTCATGGTACATACCAGCATCCTGACTATCACCATCATCATCATCATCACCACCATCATCATCATCATCACCACCAACATCATCATCATCATCAACATCATCATCGTCATCGCTATCGCTATCACCCCCATCGACATCGTCGTCATTATCACCACCGCCACCACCGTTATCATCACTATCACCCCCCACCAACATCACCATCAACATCATCGACACCATCAGTGGCATCAGCATCAGCATCATCATCACCGCCATCGTGATCATCAGCATGTGCGTCACCACCATCATCCGCATCGTCAGCATCGTAGGCATCGACATCATCGTGATCGTTATCATCGTCGTCTTCATCATCATCAACATCACAATCATCATCACCGTCACCACCACTATCGCCATACCCACCATCATACTCGCCATCACCACCATCATCATCAGCACCAACCTCATCGTCATGATCAGCATCATCGTCTTAACCCTCGCCCTCATTCAGACGAGTGCTGTTATCTCACATCTACATCCAGTCCCGTGCGATGCTACAACGCAAAACGGGGCGACCTCCTCCACGGTGAGGCCATACACTCGGACGAACGGCGTCGACACCGATCGCCTCGCGCGAGGCAAGAGGCGGATGCAACGTGACAGTGGGCGATGATGAGTGCGAGCAAGGTTGAGCGGACGGTGGAACATGGAGGTATGAGTAAGTTGCGTACGAAAAGGGGGGATGTTGCACTGAGGAGGTTGGAGGGACATACACCAATGATATCAAACTGGTGATGCTATTGGCGGCTGCGGAGGACGATTAGATGGTGCTAGGGGGTGCTGAACCGATGAATTCTGCAGATGGGTATGTCTGGCTAAAGCTTATGCGGATAATGATGACGGGATAGGGTTTAGATGGTGTCAGAGGTTGGCGATCGACAGTTGGATGAGTGAGGGCGAGTAGGGGAAGCGGCTGTAGATGTCGAAAGTCTGAACAGAACCAATACATTGATGACGATTTGGAATGGTTTGCTTGATGCCGAGCAGATGAGGGAGATGATGATGTGAACCTGCAGCGAGCAAATCCATGTCTGAAGTCATGGAATGTATGGCCTGATTCCAGGCTGATCATGAAACATTGAGCACGCCCGTGCGGCCTGGGACTCGACCACACCAGGCGGACGGCGGCTGTCTCGACGCGACGAGCAGCCGACAAAAACATGTGAACCCGTCGGGTGAAGTCCGATCAGGAGCAGTGGAAGATACGCGATATTCATTATCAACTGCAAGCGTGAGCCACGTACACTGGCGCACACTGATGCCACATGGCTGTCTAACAAGTAGGCTGCCCGAACGGATCACATCTTCATCATCATCATCATCATCACCATCATCATCATCATCATCATCATCATCTTCATCATCATCATCAACATCATCAGCACCAGTTTCAACATCTCCGTCCGAATCCTCATCACCATCGCCATCATCATCCTCATCATTATAGTCAGCATCGTCTGCGCTAACATCGTTATCACCATCGTTGTCCTCACCATCATCACAACCATCAGCACCATCATCAGTATCATCATCATCAGCATCACCATCAGCATCACCATCGCAACCACCATAGTCACGATTACCATCACCATCACCATCACCATCATCATCAGCAGCATCATCATCACCATCACCATCACCATCACCATCATCATCATCATCATCGTCATCATCATCATCATCACCATCACCATTATACATTCATATATACATATCACCATCGTCTGCATTATCGGGCGCCTACAACGCATACGAGTGAAAAAACAGGTTGGACAAACTGCAGACATGCGCAACTGCACATCACAAATCTCACAAAAGCAGAACATCGCAGCACCGTGCACACAGCTCATATATCAGCTGGGCGGTGCGTCCTCGAGAGCTGGGCTGGGCGTGGCTGGGTTGGGTTGGGCATCAGGCGGGCGGTGCATCATCCAGGGCGGCGGCGGCGGCGGCGTGTGCGTCGGGCTCACCGCGATCATGGTCTCGCTCGATCTTCGCCATATCACGCACGGCGGCCAGCTCCTTCCCACGGCATGATACCACAACGCCATGCGAGCTGACACAAAAATCTGTCATATGACACATGGTTCTGTCATTTCGGTAGGCGGCCAACACCAGACCCGCGAGCTGACACAAAACTATGTCATATGACCAATTTTGCTGTCATTTCGGTCGGCGGCCAACACCAGACCAGTGAGCTGACACAAAAATCTGTCATATGACATTTGTTTCTGTCATTTCTGTTGGCGGCCAACACCAGACCAGCGAGCTGACACACAAATCTGTCATATGACATGTTTTTCTGTCATTTCTGTCGACGGCCAACACCAGACCAGCGAGCTGACACACAAATCTGTCATATGACATGTCTTTCTGTCATTTCTGTCGACGGCCAACACAAGACACGTGAGCCGACACAAAATTATGTCATATGACAATGTTTTCTGTCATTTCTGTCGGTGGCCCATAACAGGCCCGTGAGCTGACACACAAATCGGTCATACGACGATTGTTTCTGTCATGTATGTCGGCGGCCAACACCATGCTGCGATGCGCAGTTATCTTCGGACCAATGCGACCGACATCATATCATCATTAAGCATGGGGCCTAGCACGACGAGTGTGGAAACAGTATTAAACCAAGTCATCATCCTATATCTTCTTATTTAACTGTGGGCAAGATTAATTTAGCAACAACCGCTCCTCGATCGGAATCGCATCAGGGTCGATGTGACGGCCAACGCGGGCGAGTACAATATCAGACAATCTCTCAGAGATGGCTTCCACACGTGTCCTCATCGCAACGGACGACTCCATCAGCTCGGGGCGTACTTCTAGAATCTGTTTGATTTTCTTGCACCCTGGCGTGACGAGGAACAAGCACAGCCGACCCTCACAGAAGCATTCAAACGAGCTACATCTATAGACAACAACCAATGACAAAGTGAGGACCATCCCAGAATTCATTACGGAACGCATCACGGTGGACACCCCGGAACCATTCGCCCGGAACCAGATATAGGATGTTGGCCAGTTTGAATGCGTATTCGCCTGGTGTCCACTTCTGATGTCGATGCGCATCACCTTTCACGACAAGGGGGCGATGGTGAGAACTGCGTAGTCGGACCGCTGAAAAAAGGAACGCTAAATAAGGAACGAAACTCAGGTGTATCACTAAAAGCGTTTTCGTACCCAATGATGTCAATATAAATAACAACAATGGAGGAAAATAATGATCATCGAGACCACTCCGAACTCATATCGTTCCTTATTTCAGCTGATTGACTGCACATAAGGAGAGTGGGGAGGGGAGGGTAGGAATAGGACGAGGAGGGGGAGGATGGACGACGCCGATGACAAAATCTGATGACCTGAGCCCCCGCTGGCTTGCCGACGTGCAGGGCTGGCTTCCCGACGTACAGCGCTGGCTTCGCCTTCGGCACAACGTCCTCCTCCGCCTCGTGCTCCTCGTACTCCTCGTCATCCTCCTCCGCCTCCTCGACGTACGCTGGGTCGACTGCGCAGTCCTCTTCCTCGCCCTCCTCAGCTGCCTCATCCTCTCCTGGTTCATCATCAGCTTCGGCATCGACTGCAGGGAGAGCGGCTGGGCGTTTCGCTGCAACACCGTGTGCTGCCGCTGCTGCTGCTGGACGCTTCTTGGAAACAGCTTTCGCCTTGGCCTTCGCCTTCGCCTTGGCCTTCATGGCCTTCGTCACGACTGGCTCGGGCGGCTTCTGCAACGTACCGTCTGCTTGCAGCCAAGCGTTCGTGAGCTCCGTGTGGTAGACGTACTCCGAGCCGTCATCCGTAGTGAGGCCGTCGAACTCCGCGAGCAGGAAGCCGTCGTCGCCGCACTTGTACTTGCTGGCCGTCCGCGGCCGCCCATTCGACATGATCACGATGATTTGCTCGCCGTCGAACTGGGCGAAGAGCGGCTTTCCCTCCTCGTCGCTGCTGGTCTCGATGGCGACGTCGTCCTGTGCCGCGCCGACCGAGGGCCCGACGTCGCTCCTGAAGTGGACGAACGGGCACGGCTTCTTCCCTGCAGCCGATGCTGACTGGCCCGTCCGCTGTGGAGATGGCGACGGGTTCGGCGGAGTCGTGATGGCGTTCAGCATGGCCTGCAGGTCTGGTGGAGCCTTCGCCTTGGCTGTGGGCGACCTGCGCAGCTCTTTGTCTTTGATGCGAACGTGGGACAACATCACCCGCGTCTTCACAGAAAACAAATCTGGCAGAGCGTCAAACGATATCCCTGTCGAGCGAGAAATCCTCCGAGCATGGGCGATGAAATGCTTATCTGAGAGGAGCTTGTTGAACGCAGCCGTCACATGTGTAGCATTGAAATAGCCGCCTCGAGGATCTAATCTAATGAGCGGTTCGAGCAATGGCCTATATAGAATAAGGTTCTCGACATCAACACCGACGCGGCAATCACTGCTGGAATAGTGCACACCGTTGAACTCCTCACATATGTGGCCCCATGATGGGCGCATGGCGTCATGAATTGCATGCTCTTCAGTGCCAGGGGGGGTGGACTGCCAGTTCTTAGTCCGCCCCATGATCGATCACAATCTTGCTTGGGCCAAACCGGCTGCCATTAACTATGCCGTTTGGGTCGGAGTGGAGGGTGGAAGATTAAGGATATCA